GGGGGGGGGGGGGGGGTAGGTGGGCTAGCGGGGCGTCTGCCTACTCACCGACTCATCGTCTGTGGTTGGTGTTCGCTCCGTTCCAAGAAAAACTATATAGCTCGAAACGCAATGGAGCTGACCTTCTGTTCTTGTTCGTCACTCTCAAACTCATAGCGAAACCTCTTTCTCCTCCAATAGGACTCGGGTAAAGGCTTGTCTCCGTGATTGAAACAAAACGGGTGATTCTTTCTCCAAATCGAAACACCTCGCAGCTGTCTGCGTGTTTCCGCTCGGGGTCGAAGGGGATGGGAGGGCGGACCCGCGGGCGAGTGTGGCCCCGATTAAGCCACGAGTCTTTTTCGGCGGTCTGCGCTTTGTTCAGGGGTACCCGTATAAAACTCTTTGCAATACAGTAGAAGTGCAACGAAAGTCTCCCTCTGCCACACAAAACACTGGTATAATAGTAAGAGCTACCAGGGTACAACGGCATAGAATAGTCATGAAAAAAAGGCAAAGTGCACACACGATACTAACGGAGACCGGAACCGTGTTTATTGCTGAGACAACAACAACAAGAAGACCCGAACTCACAACGTGCCCAACACACGGCACCCACCGTCCGAGCGCGCAGCATGCTTCAACCCCGCCCCCTCGGCATCACCCAGCCTCTGCCGGCTGCTTGGTTTCCTCTGCGCCGCCGCCGCCCCTACCCCCCCCCCACCCTCGTCTCGGCTAGGACCACCGCCACCACCGCCGGACTTGAAATACGCCTGCTGTCGAGCGGCCGCCGGCTTGACTTCCGCGACGCCTGTTGTCCCCTTTTCCTTCCCTCCGAAGAATTCCACCTCGGCCGCTTCCAACATCTAGTGGAGAGCGACGGGCGGGAAGGAGCGCCGCCCACATCGAGGTTAACGAACGTTCGTCGTGGCTCATGCCACATGGACCCCGCGGTGTGGATAGTGTGGGATACCATCGAGCGTGGGCGAGTTACAACAATGATGTGGGGGGGGGGGTGTACTCATAGTCGTGCATGCCGTAGTCGTTTGACCATTGACCTCGCATCCCTACAAAGCCGGGACGGAGCACGCCGGGTTCTCACCGGACCAGGCTCTCACATCACCAAGCGCGAAGCGCCGTGAGGTATTTGGCGAGTCGCATGAAGGGTGAGCTGCATCCTGCTAAGGGTGTTCGGCATCTTGTGCTTACTTCCTTGCGTACGGATGACAGCTACGTATGACTTAATTTATTTTCTGGTGCTTTTACTTCCAGAGACAGTTATAAGCACTGTGTAACTGCCTCGAGGAAGCTTGACCATTTTAACACAACGTGGTGCGATCATCCCCCGTTGCGCGGAGTGAGGTTTCTCCACCCCGCACAACATGATCTACTCGACCACCATGTGGGGGGGGGCTCATTTAACGCCGTTCTGTGCCCGGCGCATCGACCGGCGCTATTCAATGTACAGAATGAATTGGTGATTCAATCTGTGCCCAGCAATTTCACCGGCGCTACATTGGCCCACCGGCACCGGCGCTAATCAACCGGCGTTGTTGATGCCCCCCCACTACTGCATAATAGTTGGCTGGCAAACGGGGGAGGTGGGGTTAAGATTGATGGACGCATCGTTCTACAGAGAGTCGGGCGGGGACTGTCAGAATTCTCATGCACGGAGAGAGAGGGTGTGGTCGTTGGATTTTCCGACACTGCTGTGATCTGCCTGCTGTCCAGCATCGTGCACACCCGTCGCGGGGGTTGGTATGAATGCCTTGGTCGTCCTGCTGGGAGGTCACCCCGCCAGCTGATGTGTGCTGCGGATGATTGTGCAAAGACGATCATTTTTCTGCACGGCTGCGCTCTGTACCCACAGCCATGTGTTTGGACATGTGGCTTAAATGGCACGGCGCAACCGCCGCTCCCGTGGGATTCAAACATGGTCCATCCAATAGCACGTCGAGGTTGTGTTCATTCCAATGCTGCAGCAAGAGTAATCGCCTGTAGAAGCTTCGACCACATGGCCCGAATGTACAAGACGCGAGGAAAATACCAGCTACGTACGGTAGTGGGGGGCCCCGATGTAGCGTCCCTGTTTAGCGGCATCCCCTGTATAGCGACCACAACATCGCGCGCCACCACTGCTACTGCATCCCGACGCTAATATACCAGCGATAGCGACCTTCCCTGATTAGCGACCAGATTGCCTCCGAACACTGGGGGTCGCTAAACCGGGCCCACTACTGTAGTACTACAATACACACGCATATGCACAGCAGTACGGCTGTATAGCACATCAAGTCGGGCCACGAGCTGCCCAAACAAGCAGTGAACAGGACGCTCCTGCGTACAGCGGGTGCCCTGGGCGGTTTCTCGCACAGACTGTAACGAGCAGACGTTGCTTTCTGCTTGCCGGGCTTACTGCTGTACGCAAGAAAAACCAGACTGATCCAATCAAAACGCAACACGCATCGTGTGTAACTTCCACCTGCCGTAACTTCACCTACATAAACGCATTTTTCCAAAGTACATACATACTTCTACAATTTTCTCCACCCCCGACTCACATCATCCAAGCTCTCCTCTCCTTGCGCCGCGTCCCCGCTCCGGATGACCCTGTCCCCCTGCACCTTGGCCATGCGCTCGGTGCTCCTGGATAGGATCCTCTGTCGCCGCCGCTCCGCCGCCAGGCGAGAGGCCGACTTCCCCTCGTCTTCAGGGGCAGGGAGAGGATGGTCGTCGAGGACCGCGCCGACGTCATCGTCGAGGTCGGCCGTAACGCCACGCGGGGCGATCTCCTTCTGCTCGGTGGCGAGGTCGACCACCGGGGCGCGGTGCCCGCCCTGGCTTCGGGCCAGCACCTTCTGCCTTCGGGCCTCTCGCTGCTGCTCGACAGCAGTCGCCTCCATTCTGATGGAAGCAGCGGTGGGCTGTTCCAGCAGTCCCGATGATGATGACACCGGACGCAAGAGGAGGGGAGCACAGGGTTGGTGAACTCACAGGTGTGCGTATTGGCTGCTCCACTATCAGTGGATGCGTGGATGCTCCTGACTCAAGAAAAATCCTATTAATAGTATACTGTAGCTCTTGTACGTGCACCTGCTGTATATGTAGGCAGGGGTCGGTGCGGTGTGCTATTGTACGCGGTACATTTGTTCGTGCTGCCTGCAGAACCCGCACACACACACCTGTTTGCTTTACACCTCGCTCGGTTGCGTGTATTCCCTCGAACGGATGCACCAGCCTTGCTGCAGTCCGGTTTCCCTTCCCTGCTCTCACCCGTCCGGAACGCGCACACGTGTAGCCGCGAGGCACAGCAGCAGAGGTTCGTGTCCAGCAGAGCTTCGAGCTGGTCACCGGCCCTAATTTCGCAGACACGGGCCTCCCTGCCCCCCTAAAACTCACGTACTCTCTGTGTACCCCCCCCCTCAGGCACGTTGAGGCTCGACACACACCACCCTTCACCAACTACTCCAGACCCCACAGCCCAGGACAGACCACGGAGAGGGGACGGTAGAGCCAGCGTGGTAGGTCTTGGGAGCTTGGGGATTCGTTGTCGTAGTCACCGCGCACGCCGGTCTCGCCTGTGGCCGCCCTCAGGCAGCCCGCCCCATCACATTCTTTCCCGGAACTCTCCCCATCTTTTCGCCGGCGAAACCGCACAACACGGCGCACGGCGCACTGCTTCTACTCCAGCACTCCGGCACTGCCCTGACCTCTGCCGCTGCTAGCACCACTGCAAGAGCCTAGCGGTGGGTCAAACCACGCGACGGTTTCACTAGTATTCAGGCCGGCCTCCTAGCCATATGGGACTGCTGATGTTGCCGCCCTCCTCACGGCGAGGTAGCGGCGGGTTGTCTCCTGGTAGCGTGACACCGCGGACCTTGGCTGTCACCATGGGTCTTGTCCTCCTCCTCCTAGCAGCAGGCTTCGACTCAGCGGAGGCCGTCCTCCCCACGGGGGAGCTCCGACTAGCGGACGGGAGCACGGCCTACGCGGCCCCGGCGTGGTTCGGCCTCCAGCTCCCAGAGGAGAAAGAGGCGACGCATCTCCCGCTCCGGGTTCCCAAGAGCGACGCCGACGGGTGCGGGAAGGTGACGGTGGAGGATCCACCCGAGGGCGGGGGCGGGTTCGTGCTTCTGGTGGAGAGGGGCAACTGCTTCTTCGACGCCAAGGCGCTCGCGGCGCAGGAGGCCGGTGCCGAGGGGCTCGTGGTCATGAACTCGGTGGAAGGCATCTACCAGGTGAGGCAAGGCAAGGTTGGATGTACTGCTGTACGCGGCGGTAGTGTACTATGTACTGCTGTACACTCGCACAGAGGGCTTTGTCTGATTGGGCAACACATGATGAATTTGAACCTACAGCAATACTGCACTTTCGGATCAGCTTGTTTGGTTGTGTTCTGTTCTCTATGGGTCGAAGATGTGGCGTGCCGTGCGAGGGGGCATCCCGACGGCATTCAGAAACACAGCAGCAGTAGCGGTAGTAGTAGCAGTAGCGGTGTTCCGTGTGCAGGACGGAAGGAGCGTGTGCAAATCTGAACCCTTTCGGCACTGCCTCAAGGTGTTCAGCGAGAAGTGGGCTGCAGCAAGCTGCTGTGTATTTCTAGTGGAGGTTGCTCATCTGTAGCGGAGAAACACGTCCAAATTTTTAGTCGGGACAAAGTTAACTTGGCGTTCGCCGACCAGCTGTCTCTATTTAACTTGGCGCCTTTTCTTAGTACAGTCGTCCCCGCTTTCAAGACGCTCGTCTTAAGTCAACTCCCTGCGATAAAGACGGAAAAAAATCTGAACCAGGGTGCCCCGCAGACATATACCATGGGAGGGTGTTGTTTTTACAGCGCGCGTCCCCCCAAAATGCATGGTGCAGCACACCAGCACGCCCGTGTAGACAACACAGAAAGCTGTCTGCTGCTGCTGGCGCTACTACTTCGTGTGGGTATGGAGATATTCTTCTCGTCTGCTGGCGGCTCGTCCACCGCCGGTTTGACAGTATGTGGTGAACCAACGTGCACGATGAAGTCTCAACTTGTGTCAGGGGTTCATCTGTGCCCTTGCGGGCGATCCATGCATGCGTTTTGTGGTCGGGGCATCGGAGCGGAGGGCTACGGGCAGCAGAGAGAGTGCACCGATTGCCAGAAGAGAACAGCTGAAGACAATGAGGTTCAAGTCCGTGAGGCAGTGAAGACGTGGCTTCGTGTAGAGGATGACCCAGAGGTGTTGGAGGAAGAGATAGAAATGGAGCTGCGGGGTGTAGAGGAGGACCTTGACAACATAGACCTCGATGACGATGTGTCCAGTGAAGAGGAAGACGGCGACGGTAGGCCAGGGTCGTGCATGACAACGTTGGTTACAGAGGCGACGTCCGCTCTCGTCTCGAGGACTGCCGCTCCTTTTTTAACGTCAAGGGGAAGGACGGGGAGTACAGCGAAACACTATACCTTCTTTCGAGGACTGTGCATTCGTTTACCGTTTTTGAAACTCAAGTCAAGCGAAGAGCGAAGGGGGGGGATGAGGTGCAGGCCACGCTTGGCGACATGTGGAGGGGGTAGTTTTTTGGGGGGGCGCGCGTAAAGCGATGGAATCTGTTTCTTCTTTCGAGTTTGTCTTGTTTTTGTTTCTGGTGCTGTCTACCCGATAATTTCTGGTTTATGTTCGTCGTTTTGTCCCTGTCGGGTAGGTAGCGTGTGGCATAGCACGTGTTCCGTGCTTGAGTTGGAACAGCGGACTTCTTCGGTGTGACAAAGCTGTCGGCAAGATTTTCAACCTGAGGACAACGACAACATAACAATAACAATGCATAGAGACCACGCTGTCGTAGCAAAACGTTGCCATGCAACACTACCCACCTCTCAGCAGTGTATTGCGGGAGGTGGTGTGTGACTGCTAGTGGTGCAGCAACTTCAAACTCGGTTATATGGTACATTCGACTTTCACCCCCTGCCACGATGTGATCGCCAAGTGTACGGTGTTCTCGTTCCGTGCTATGTATCCCTGTTGCAACGGGGCGTCTTTTGACGTATGGTACACCTCCATTGACCCCGGGGATGATGAGTTATCGTCCCCGGAATATTAAAGACGGTTCCCCGCGTTAAAGACGCTTTGAAAAAAAAACGATGTGCGTCTTTAAAGCGGGGGCTACTGTATAAGAGGTTTTAGCAATTGCACCGCTCTCGGGGCACCGAACTCGAACCGACACCCACGCGCAGCCGGGTTCGCTGGGGCATATCCAACGCCCATGAACAGGACAGAAGCAAACACGCCCATCACAGGAAAGAAGCAAAAACACGCCCGTAACAGGAAAGAAGCAGCAGTCCACTATGGTCTCTGCGTGTTTTATCAGCGAGGAGGGAGGAGAGTTTCACGTGCACGTTGAGGCAGCACCCACGCCCAGGGATCCGTACATGTTTCTCTTTACAGACCGCCTGCACGCCCGTCCTCTCGCCGGATCGCTTAAAAGTAGTGACGTGATGATGATTGCGCTGCATCTGCATTCTTGTCGCTGTCTTGACTCCGTCTGTCCTCCTTATTCTGTAGTGTGAAGGCACCGGCATCGGTTGTGATTCAACCATCATCACCATCGATCATCTTCAGACAATGGCTCGTTCGTAGCGATGAGAGACCCGCATGCTTTTCATCTGCACGCACGGTTGTCTGTTTGCTGCCGCGATGACGACACGCTTCTACCCTGGTGTTTCCTCTCCTTCGTGTATTCCCGTTCCGTCAATTCTCTTGGTTTTTCTCGCGGGTTTTCGCCGCAATTGTCTCTAACCCCCTACTTATCGCCAACGCCCTAGTTATCGTCAACCCCCTCTGAGTACCGTCAACTGCCAACCGCGCACGTAACGACCTTGAACGCAGGACAATAGCGCGGCCACCGACAAGTATGACTACGAGTGCGACAACGGCGAGGGTTGGGTCAAAGACCTCCAGACCCCGGTGTGGGACCCGCTCAACACCGACGAGGCGTGCTGGTCCAACGACGCCTGTGACTCAGGAGTGTGCGTCGTGACCAACGTCACCGAAGCAACCTTGGGGACAAAGGTGACTGACCGACTCGGTCATGACCGGAGAGCAAGGCAGCGCCGCCCGGCAGAGTTTATTGACTCCTAGAATTACAGAGTGTTGCGTTCTGTATGCGTTTCTGCGTGATGAAAGCGGTTCGTTTTGCGGACGGACCACCGCCGCCGCCTGCTGTGTGTGATTCTTGTCGCCTTGTCACGATGGAGCCCCCCGACCTTTTTTTTACCTTTTTTTGTCCTACTCCGCGTGCCCTTCTTCATCACCCCCATTCGTTGACACCTTTTTATGTCCTACTCCGGGTGCCCTTCGCCATCACCCCCACTCATGGATCCCTTTTTGTGTCCTGCTCCGCGTGCCCTTCGCCATCGCCCTCATTCGTCGATAACTTTTTGTGCACAGATGTCGCGTGGCCATGTCCAACACGTAGTTTGCACATTTTTGTGCCCTAACCCATGCCTCGTGCCCTTGGCACCCTGCGCCCTTCGTATGCATATGCACCACATGGTACTACTACTGCTGTACGCTAGGTGTGCTGCGCGTGGGATATGTACATCACTATGTACAGCTCGGACCCGGAGACGTCGGACAAGGTTGGCATCCCGTCCGTGTACGTGACGATGAAGGATGGACAGGCTCTGCTGGAGGCTGGCGAGGTCGATGTCGAGGTGACTCACTTAGAAGTGCCTGGGTGAGGGTTAGGTTTAGAATGACTGACCCTTGGGTGCGGTGGCCGGCCTTTGTTAGCTGTATGCATAGATGCGTTGTTGTTGGCGGAGATGGCGATATTGATGGTGGGATGTTGGTTGATGGTAGTTGATGGTATGGTGGTGTTGATGATGATGGTATGGTGATGTTGATGATGGTATGTTGATGCTGGTGATGTGGTGATTTTGATTATGGCATTTGTGACGTTGATGATGAAACCCTCTCCTTTTTTTTTCTTTTTTTTTTTCCCGCGTTTTCATGATCCTCCTCCTCCGCACAGATCTTCAACCGCCCTCGCAGCTATATCAACCTGAGCTCTTTCCTCCTGTGGGGCTTGGGTGTGGCGACCGTGGTGTGGGCAAGCGTGAAGAGCGGCGATGATCTCCGGAGACGCTCCAACAGCAAGTCAGGGGACGGGTCGTCAGGGGTGGTTAACTACGGGGGTGACTCGCACGAAGAATCCCCGGTACGTATGCATACGTACCTGTGGCAGATATTCCACAGGGGGTTTCATCCTGACATTGAAATCCCCGATAACGAATTTTGAGAGGAGCGGGGGGGGGGGGCGCTCTCATGTTTGCATGCCTTAGGTTGTTAGAGCCATTGACTACATTGTGTGGGGGGAGTGCAACGTTCCGGTTAGGTTAGCGTAAGGGGGGCGAGAGGCAGAAGAGCTCTATTTTGGGTGGTGTTACTAGTGTCTGTCGACATGAAGAGCGCTGTTTGCCTTTTGGCCCACCCTTGGCCTATTTCAGCAACAATAGTAGCCTTTTCTCTCCTCCAAAGAAACGGTGCGCTGCGGGAGGGGGATGCTTATAGATGCTTATCGTTATGATGACAGGTAGGTCAGTTTGGGTCATGTTTGCAGAGTTGCAGATGAGCGGCTCTTCAACCTGCCCGAAACCGATCAAACATAAGTCCAAAGCTCGAGCGCGTTCGGCCTACGCCCAACACCATCTTTTGACTTACGACCCCCGCCCGTGACTGGTCCACACCGCGGTGCCCCCGTCCTCCGACGTAATATCAATATTGCCTCTCTTTTGTCTGTTGCGATGGTTTGAATAGTCCTTGGAGCTAGGGGTTCGACACACTCTGGCGTTTGTGGTGTTCGCCTCGGGGATGCTGCTGCTGCTCTTCTTTTTCAACCTGGGGCTGGGGGTGACCCTCATGTTCTGCCTGTCGGCCTCTACGGCCACGTCTGCGATCGTAGTGCTGCCCCTCATGCGATGGGCCCGCGCGACGCTTGTGGACTACGGCTTTCTCTGGAGTGGTGAGTTGTGAAGGTTGGTGGGACGCCGAACCTCGAATGTGTATAGCGTGAGAGAGAAGCGAGCCCCCCTCCCCCCGAAGTACGTTAGCCCTAGCGCGGTATGTCGATAGTCGCAAAGTGATCGCTGGGCTGTGGCGCATGGTGAACAGCAGTGTAGTCTAGAGTGGTCAACGGGCTGTTGGATCCTCTCTGGGATTTTTTTAACCGTTCCCGTTGGCTGTGTGTCGCCGTTTGGTGGTGGTGGTACTACTGCTAGCCGCCAGGTTTACGATACTATACCCTCCTGCTCTACGGTTCGTATTTTCTGTTGGTTGTCCATGTTCGCGGTTAGCTGTTGTTGTTGCTGTTGTTCGTGGTGGTAATGATGGTGCCGCTGCAGGATGCAAAACTGGTGTCGGTGCTGTCCATACTCTCGCCGTGTCTGCTGCTGACCACGATACATGTACTGCTGCCGATTACGACGATCACCTGTGGGATTCCACCCAACGTGCTGTGCTCTCTCTCTTTCTGGCTGACTTTCTTTTGCGTCATTTCCAGACGGCGACGGCGGCACTGTCGACTGCTACTGCTTGGGCGTCTTGTCCGGGCTGGAGATTGCTTCCACCATTACATCCATGGGTCTAGCGCTGTGGTGGCTAATCGTCCGAAACACAACCAGTTACGCCTGGGTGCTTCAGGTGAGTCTCGGCTTCGGCGAGCACTATTGAGATTGGGAGAGGGGGTGTACTCCTGTAAACGCTTACCGTTGTCATTGACCTCGCATCCCTACAACGCCTGGACCCATCGGTATGCCGGGTCCAGGCTATGTTTGACAAGGATGAGTCAGAAGCGGGGGGTGGTGGACGCATGGTGAATTTCTTAGCTCTCGGCGTGTGTCGCGTTGTTGGAGGGAAGTTGGTGCGTCCGTTTCTCGTGGTGGGTGGTCCATTCGTGTCGTTCTCAGAATCGTCTTGTGTTCGTTTGTGCCCTTTGGACTAGGTACTATCTTTTGTGATCGCCAGGGCCATGAGAGGACGCGCTGTTGCCGATGCACGACCGCCAGCCCGCCACCAACACAGCGTGTTGTGTCCCGATGCTTGTTCGTTCGTCCCGATGCCCCCCATGCTGATGCTGTTCCTGTGCTTTGTGTTTGTGTTGTTGTGTTTGTTGCAGAACCTGTTCGGGTGTTGCCTGTGCGCCACCTTCCTCTCCACCATCCGTCTTCCAAGCATCAAGGTACTGCATGGGAAAGTTTTTGACATTGATCATTGCTGTCCTTCAGAACATGGAGTCGACCTCTTACTCTATCCAGTTCTTTTTGACCCCAGAGACGCGATCCGTACTCCAAGCATCAAGGCCTTGTATGGTTGCTCCAAGCATCAAGGCCTTGTATGGTTGTCTAGTCGACATGAGTGATGTCTTTTGTTGTTTCAAAACAAGGGCTGACCTCTTGTCTGTCCAGTTCTCTTTGCCCCCAGAGACACGATCCGTCTTCCAAGCATCAAGGTATTGTAATTGTCTGAAGTTTACAGTTGATTGCTGCTGCCTATTTAGTTCAACACAAGGAGTCGACCTCTTATCTGTCCAGTTCTTCGTGACCCCAACCATACTAAGGTGAATTATCCGGCTCCATCAGCCGTCTGATAAGAAGCTAATCACTACAACAGCATTCCATCGAAACAAGTACTGCTGTAGCCTGTAGGCCATAGGTTCCATAATGGATACATGTATGGGATTTGTGATGCAGACTATGCTTATTTAAGAATGCCGTGGGTCCTACATCGCATCCTACCATGATTTCTCTCGTCTATGCATACCTCGGGACGGGTGCACCCTCCGACGTACACACACCGCGGTGGTGAGCCATGAGTACAATACATCCTTATCCTTAACCCCCGCTCCCTCGTCTCTCTACCTCCTCGAACAGGTGGCCACCTTCCTGCTTTGCCTAGCTTTCTTGTACGACATATTCTGGGTGTTTCTGTCCCCCCAGCTGTTCGGTGAGAGCGTGATGGTCAAGGTGGCCACCGGCGGGGAGATCACCCAAGACCCCACGTTCTGCGAGAAGTATCCTACTTCCGACGGGTGCCAGGTGGGTGCCTGTTGCGTTACACCTACGATACCATACCGTCTCCCTTTGTAGCGTTGAATTTCATTTGGCGTTGGTGACCGGAAGAAGTAGTATTAGCGATCGTACGCACAACGGTAGTGATGCTATTGTCAGGCATCGTGCACATCTTTGTTTTTGTGCTGGTGTGTTGGACCAATATGGGTATTGAGCGGAGACCGGAACGACTTATTTTGTGAAAACGGCAACAACAACGCCAACAACAACAACGACGAGGTGTGTCTAATGTTCTTGAGTGCATCGTGTGGGTGCATAAATTTATCGCATATGTTGCGTCCTGCGTTTTGGCGCCGTACTGTTTTTTTTTTCTTCACTCTCATGTTGTCCTCTCCGCAATCGGATCGATTGGGCTTTACTCGCACATCCCTTGCGCCCCGAACAGCCCAGTAGTCAGATGAAGCGCGGGTGCCCATCATCGTGAGTCCATCTCAGTTGAGCTGAAAGTAGCTAGCTGCCTTTTGTTTTAATTTTTTTTTCTCCCCACGTTGCTGGAACTATGTGGGACTATCAATGACCGCTGAAAGTTGTACGACTGTAATATCAACCTTTATTGTTTTGTCTGTTTTTTTTTTCCAGGTCGAAAGCCTCCCAATGTTGCTGGAATTATGTGGGATTATCAATTACCGCGGTTGAGCTGCAACGATTAATATCAACCTTTATTGTTTTGGTTTTTTGTTCCAGGTCGAAAGCCTCCCGATGTTGCTGGAGCTCCCCCGGCTGTGGGATTACACCGGAGGTTACGCGATGCTTGGCCTGGGTGACATCGTCATCCCTGGCCTGCTGCTGTCCTTCGCCCACCGCTACGACCTTTCTGTAAGATGAGATAAGAGATTCATTATAGTCTCAGTGCCGTAGGTGACCTGACGTAAGATACCACACACCCTGGACCGGTTTCCTTTATTACCTTGGTTTTCCTGTACCATAATGGTATTTCCGTAGGTGACCTGACATAAGATACCACACACCCTGAACCGATTTCTTTTAGTACCGTGGGTTTCCTGCACCATAATGGTATTACCATAGGTGACATGACGTAAGATACCACAGCCCCTGAACCGATTTTCAAAGATCGATTTCTCTGCAGCACACACTGACACGGACGGTGCCGAAAACGGCGTCGTTGGAATGGTCTCGTCCAAAGCTTTCCGAAAACGTACCATTTGATGTTGGCATATCCTCGTCACCGCGGAGCAATTGAGCTTCGGACAAATCGGTACAGGGGGTGTGATATCTCATGCAACCTACCGTACAACCTTTTGTTGAGTTGTTGGTGGAAATGTTTTGGTGCTGGTTGTTGGCCGTGAGCATGGCTTTCAACAACGCCTCCTCCGCTCTCTTCTTTAGATGGGTAGTTCTCGCGGTAAACAGCAGTATGCCCCTGCCGTTCAACAGCCCTCTCCGGCATTCTCTGAACAACACCCCCCCCTCCCGGCGCCATCATGTCAATGTCTTAACGTCTGTTTATGATTTGTGTTTGGCGCTTTGGTGCTTTCAGGTGGGACTTCACTGGGGCAAGGGATACTTTGTCTTTATGGTCGCCGGCTACGCGGTGGGGCTGCTGATGGCCAACATGGCCGTCTATGTAATGTCAATGGGTCAGGTGAGAAGAGAAGATAATTGTTTGAAGCGAAGGACTATGACACGACGAGGACCACGTAGAAACGGGACCTTTGCTGTCCCCGCAATTTTTTTTGTGTTGGGTGCAAAACCAGCTGCCGGTAGAGCTGTCTACAACCCCGCCCCGTGGCTCACGAGCCAACCTTATCCACGCCCCCCCCCCCCCCCCCTTTTAACCCCCCCCATCCCTCCATCCATGGATGACACTTGACCTATCTCGAAATGCGATCATGTGTTCTGGTGATGCTCCGTGTCTCTCGTGACGAGGAA